TACACAGACCTCTTCATGCAGCTGCCTGTTATCTCAATCCCTCGTAAGATTTAATTTTCTCAATTTTTATATCATTTTATATCTATATATTATATACTGATCAATGATCATTGTAAATCAAAATAACTTTCAGGTTTCATTACACCGGTAGTGTGGACTATGAGATAAAGATGGGACTTTATCAGACTATTCAGAGAATATGCCCAAGTCCTATTGGAAAAGAAAAAATTGATAAATAATTAGATATCTTTCAAAATGCTGATTTGATATTTGGAATGGACATGGCAATCCAGATGAGGAAGAAGAAACAACCGGGTTAGTGGTAACCTAACTTAAGTTAGTCATTTAAATGCAATTACTTAAGTTAGTTAATGGAGTATTTTATTGTAATTTTTTATAGCCTTATGGTGGGAATCATTTGGAGGATGTTGTCTAGAGTTGCAACAACTTGCTATCCGCGTCCTTAGCTTGACTTGTAGTACCACAGGATGTGAGAGGAATTAGAGTACATTTGACCAGGTGAACTCTAAGAGGAGAAATCGATTAAAACAGCAAAGATTAAGTGCACTTGTGTTTGTGAAGTACAATCTTCGATTGGAGACAAGACACCAAAAGAGCGTACTAGACGATGATTCCTATGATCCTATTTCTCTCTCAGATATGGAATCTAATGATGAGTGGATCACTGAAAAAGAAGATGCAATCCTTCCTGAGGACACTGCTTGGATGAATGTTGGTGAATGTTTTGTAGTTCAAGAAGGGACTAGCAAAAAGAGAAAGAGAGGTAATTAAAATGTAGTGGTTGTTTTTTCTTCTTTTCCATTCCTTTGAATTTATTTTTTTTTATATTTTGTATTGGTTGCTTTGTAGGGCCTAGAAATCTTTCTTTAAACAAAAAAAAAAAGAAAGCAAATAGTTCAACTTGAAGATGAGGATGTGGATGAGGATGAACAAATACAAGAAGTTGAAGATAATGAAGGAAATGAAGACTTGTTGGCATCCGATCACAATGATGATGATGATGATGCATTTTCAATTGAAATTGAAGATTGAGTTCAAAATGAATGTTAAAAATTTGGATTAGAAGTCTCTTTGGTGTTTAAAGTTTGAATTAGTGAACTATAGTTGTGAACTTTGCATTATAATAGTAGTGGATTATGTTGATGACTTGAATAGTTGGTAGAGTATTAATGAAATGCTATATTTTTATGAGTGTATTGACTTTTTTTCAAAGGTATATATATTTTTTTATTATTTATTTAAAATTACATTGTATCTTACGATACACAATACGATACAATATTTGTATCTTACGATATGTCTTCCGATACATGATTTGATAACTATGATCCCTGCATTTGTTGGAACCCATTACTTATTTAATGGTAACGAGATTATTACGAGAAGGCTTATTACCTAATAACGGGAAAAAGATCTCAGGAACTAAATTTAGAGATGATGACGAGCTTGGTGGCTCATGGGTTGTGATCTAATTTTCCTGTCGTCGGGTATAACATCGCAAATACTCCCTATCTAAGCTTCTACAAGCAGTATGCTCCCCCAGGACAAGTGTTTCTCCCCGATTCCCCCCCAACTAGGTTTTTCTCCCTAACCCAAGCCCTGAATGGGCGTATGAGTAGAAATACATCCTCTAACATCTCTTCTTCAATACACTACTCCCCCTCGAGATAGTTTAAGAGTGGAGAAATATGACTCTATCTCATAAAAATGGACATCCATTCTGACATGAACCTTCCGAGACTGAGAGTGATAACACTCATACCTTTTTTGAGTAGAAGAGAAGCCAATAAAGACACACCGCAACACCTTTGGATCCAACTCTCCCCTGATCTTTCGATAATCATGCACAAAACACATAACCAAACACCTTTAGGAGAATAAATAGAAATTGACCTTTGAATCTACCCTATAGGAGTACCAAAATCAAGAACTCTCAAAGACATCCGATTGATGAGATATGCAAGAGTCACCACTACACCTCCCCAAAAAGGTTGGGGGACACCAATAACAAACATGAATATGCCACTAGATTGGTGAAAATTTTCATATTCTGTAAGATAATCTCGATATTTTCCATTAACGTACTCAATCCCATTATCAATCCTCAGAACCTTAACTTTGATATCAAACAGAATATTTACTAATTTATGAAAATTCTTGAAATAAGTAAACACTTCATCCTTAGTATGCAACAAATAAATCCGAGTGTAGCAATCAATGAAAGCAACAAACTAATATCTAGCAAGAGAAACTACACAAGAAAGTCCCCAAACATCAGAATGAACAATCGTAAACGAGGCAGTACTTTTATTATTATTACTAGGATAAGAAGTTCTTGCATGTTTGGCAAATTCACAAGCATCACAAAGAAAATTATCTTTATTACATTGTTTAATCAAAACTAAAAAAAAATTATGTAGTACTTCTATTGATGGATGACCAAGTCTCCAATGTCATTGATGTAACTATTGGAGTGTCACAGAACCAGAAGCGCCTAACAAGGTTGATCCTCCATCAAATATAAACCACCATGAGCTCTACCACTATTAATTATTCTCCCCATTCCCAATTCCTAAAAAACACAATGAGATGGGAAGAATGTTACTGAACAATTTAGAGACTTAAAAATGTTACTGACTGAGAGTAAGTTGGTAAAAAAATTACGAACATGAAGAACTGAAGACAAAGACATAGAAGGAGAACAATGAATGGAACATTTCCCTCATACAGAGAACAATGAGTCATCTGCTACCCTAACCTTTTCTCTACTGCAACATGTGGAATAAGAGGAGAAAAGATTCAAGGAACCTGTCATATGGTCAATGGCTCCAGAATCAATAATCCAAAGATTAGAGGAATAAGATGCACTAAAAGCACCAACTTGTATACTTATGTGAGCAAAGTTGGAAGCAGTAGAAATGAAAGCAGATGCAAAAGAAGTGTTAAGTTAGGCCATCAAACACTTGAGAGCCAACATCTCATCTATGGTGAAGCTCGCATTATCAGTACCGGTCGATAAAGATAGACTACTAGGGAAGCATCAACAACCTCAGTCATATGGGCATGAATAGGCTAGGACCAACCTTATTACCACCCCACGTCCCCTAGAAGGACGAATATGTAGCTGCCAACAATAATCTTTAGTGTGCCTCGTTTCTCCACAGTAGTCACACTTTAACAAATCCTTTTCCATGTTCTTATTCTTACCATCACCACGAGGCTGGAAGAATCTATTATCTCTCTATGGAATAGCTACTAGAGCAGACCGATCAAGAACAGGAGTATGAAACATAGCACTCCTACTCTCCTCGTGCTACACATAAGCATAAGTTTTTCTCAAAGAAGGAAAGGGATCTCTACCTACAACCTATATACAAATTTAATCATACTCCATATTGAGACCTTGAAGAAAATTATATACCCGTTCTTTTTCTATCAACTTCTAAAACATAGAACTATCCCAGCACAATCTACTTAAAAATACTAATAATAATCCAACTCCAACCACAGACTACTCAAACTTGTGTATTATTCTGCTAGTGTCATCTTTTTGTTTAGTTTCATGAATTTTCTTCCTGAGCTCATAAATCTAGACATCATTCACGACCTGTGAATATATATAAGTCATTGTTAACCAAATCTTATCGACTGTCTCAAGAAACAAAAAATCACGACTAAAGTGACGCTGCATCGAGTTGAGTAACTATGTTAGGTTTCTTCCCTTACTCCAGTCAAGTATTCATTTAGCCCACTTGTCTAATAACAGGCATGATCGAGACCAAGCCAAATAGTTGCCCCCATCCAATTTTACTGAACTGATCTATAGAAATCGATTGCATCCAAGAGTCCCTACACGACTCACCCCAACTTTTTTAGTACCGGTAAATTTTGCACTAACTTCAAACATGTCTTCTTAACAATAGAGAACTTTTTTAACACAACCCAACTACTGGATAACAATTTTGGGATTATCCTAACACAAAAGAGATCCAAACTAGCAACTAGAAACGCAGAAAACAAAACCAAGCAGCCTATGCTCCAAAAAGGACCTTCATAGAGGTATCAAAAAACACAGAGCTGAAACCAACAAAGCACAAACCAATCACTGCCGAAACAAAACGGAGGCTAGAGAACTACAGTCGAGGCCAAAGCACACCTGCCCAAAACAATGCCCAAAACAAAACCCAACTGCTGGAGCAAGAAAGTATCCTTGCCGAAACAACACAACACGATTGGAGCAAGAGGATGCCAATAACAGTGAAAAAATACTACCAAAGAAAACAACACTACTGAAGCCTATAAATGCCCAATAAACAACGAGATGTGCTCGGAACTCCACCAAAGCACCCACAGATTCCTTTAAAGGCATCAAAGTAGTATGAAACTTAACCGAATCGTAAATCACGAAATACAACCCGCAAATCTCAAAAATCATTCAAAAATAAAAAAAATCCCAAATGGTTCAAAAAAAAATCCAAAAAATCATTATACTAAGGAGGCCAAACCGACTCTAATATGTTGGCTTTGGAAAATTCCGGCAATGACATCATCATTCGAACAATGACATCTTCAGCACAGTAGCCTCCCAACGCCTTCTATAATATTCTTGTGACTACAAACTTTCGTTTTATTGCTCTAATACCAAGTTGAAATCTAAAGATCAAGGGTTTAGAAAGAGAAAAAGGCAAGAAAAGAGAGAAGAGAAGAAAGAGATTCAGGTTAAGGAGAGTGAGAGTGAGAGTTAACCTGTCTCTCATCTCATCACTCATGTTTATATTAACTCATAATAAAATGAGCATTATAACAATACTCTCAATTAAAATAACCTAACATTATACACTATTCAATACCAAAAGAGAAACAAACAAACCAAGCCACGAATACCCGATAGAAAAAATTAATCTAGAAAATAACTAGCACCACCATTATTGAAATTAAAGTAAATATCCCAGTCAATCAAGACCCAAACCACAAGAAACTTAGTCTAATATAAGACATACTGCCGACAATTTCTCCAGCACTCTTTCCCCCTCTGGCACATTTCTCGGTGGTCTCTCTCGCTCACACACGTTAGGATTTGAAAGTTGGGCAGGCTCGTGGTTGAAGTGCTGGCAGGGTGCAAGATAGGCGGAGACTTGCATATGAAAGTGATCGGACGGACCGCTGTGTTCTTCTTCTTCTTCTTCTTCTAAGGCAAATAAGTCATCCAACTTCTAAACACACGGCATTTTAGTCTATTAGCCATGTCTAAGGAGTAAGGACAAATTAGTCATTTTGAAAGAATTTTGGACTCCACAGTCACTTTTGTCTCGTCAGTATAATGGGTGTGAATCATGCAAATACATAAACTGAGGATGCTGCAGTAAAGTTTTCAAACTAATTTGCTGCATATATTTTTCATTCTTGCATAGAAGTAAACTTTTAAACTACAGAACTGCCTTTAGAATAGTCAAATTTACTAACCAAAACTTTAAAGCTTTGAGCTATTTGATCCAATGTTTCAAGATTACACCGCTGTATGTATTTTTCTTTGGATTTTTAATGAAGAACTACTCTACATCTTCAAATACCTGATCACGCTTTTTTTCACCGAACTCAATGTTAAGCTAATATGATTTGACAGTCCCAAGTGAAGGAAAACAAATAAAAAGGGAATATTTGGTTTGCTTATGAAGTAAGATTCTGTTTTTGTAACGAATGATGGCACAGTAACTATTTTTAGCTTAAAAGACAATCAGAAAGTTTAAGAGAGTTGGCTCTTAGTCTCTTACGTAGAGAGTTTGTAAAAGTACAACTTAGGTTTTATCGTACAACTCATCATACTTTCCCCCAAAATTATCTTGCTTTAAATACTCTTTAACTTTATCAGGTAGCTATCAATTTATTCCTTTTTAATAACCAAAATTCATCAAGAAACTACGCAAGAACTCCCCTTTGGACATCTACTCATGTGAATCATCCTGACGAATGAAGAAATTCACTCGTGCAGAAAAGATATTATGAGATTTTAAAACTCGAGGTTGATTGAACTGCCAGAGCATAATTATTTCACATGTTCACACCATCATCAATGTTGATAGGCATCTGATGTTTGTTTTAGTGCAAATGTTATATCTTATTCTTGACAAACAACAAATTGATTAAATGAAGCAAAAGTTTCATCGAGGCAATTTGAACATCTTGCTGGCATTTTTTTGGCAGCACAAATTAAATGGTAAGTATTAATACAACGTCAGGTGGAGTTCCAACTAAGAGCCTAAGAGAGAATTTTTTTACTCTGGCTTGCTATCTGACTGTATTACAAAATCTTGTGAACATCTAAGATCTCATCATAATCTACTACCAAATTTCCCAAACAAAGATAGAAAAAAACAAACCTTGTTATTGTACATAGTAATCTGACAAGGTTTGCAGCAACCTTGACAGTTGCAGGCTGCCCAAGTTGTATCCTACAAGGAGAATGCAATCACTGTAAGAAATTCAAGGTAAATACATTGGTATCGCTAGTGGTAAATAAGCAGCAGCGTCAGCGCTAGAAATAGTAACAACAAAAGTTTAGATGAATCAAAGAATATGGAGTCATATTCACAGAGAAAATAAGCAGCCCCCCTTGTAGCTTGTTTACTTCCAATGTTGAGTGAAAAGCCACAGGTAGGGATTTCAATGCTCAGGAACAGGGATAAGAACTTGCTTCTTAGTTACAAAGAGATAATAAACACCATATCATAGGCAAATCTACATATGAAGGACAGTTGTTTCTGCCACAGACATTTCACAAGAAAGCCAAACTCTGGATGTATGTCAGAAAATGTTGAGTCCCAACCAAGTTCTCATTAACCAAGGGATACAAATCAAGGAACAGAAAAGAAACCCACTAATAGCACTGGACTAGGAAAGTTGCCCTGCACAGATGGCATGTGCACAACTGGCATGAGTCACTCTCCAGAAGCCCCTAGTATGATTTTTCTATTACTTTTTTTTTTTAATGAGAAACAAGAAAACTTTATTAATTTAAAATGATACATCATCGAATAATAAATAATATAGATGGACAAGGTATCCATCTATGATCAGGAAAAAAACAATTCTCAGCTCATAGATGCTATGTATCACATGAAGCCTTCCAATCTCCAAAAATACAAAAAAGCGGATGCCATCAACCTCCTTCGAAACATAAGCCCACGGTGATGCCAAAAAATAAATGTGATCCCATAAACCTTCCTTTCACTCTTCTTTATCCTCAAATATCCTTGAATTCCTTTCCAACCATATTACCCATATAGTGGCCAATATTAGACAATGCATAGTCACCCCTTTCTTTTGCTTTCCTAATCCCTCGAATTCCTCCACTAATATAGAGGAAAATGTCCTAGGAATCACCCAACTCAAGCCTACTAATTGAAATAATTTGGACCACAAAAACAAGGCAATAGTGCAATGCAAAAACAAATGATCAATAGTCTCACTAGCACATGCACACATGACACTAAAAAAGTCAAAAAGTTGGCCTCTACTATCATGAGGTAAAGAAACCAGCTCAACTTTGAAGTTTCAATTATTATATACCACTCTGCATGTTTGAACTCATTTCCAAAAGAATCCCTAATTACACCTATTTGGCAAGTTGATATATAGTAATACTTACTGGAAAACGAAACTAAGGTAATAAGAAACAAACATACTTTTTTGGTTCATGAGTCTTCAGTTAAAGATTTGCACAAGGTGGGTTTCAACAAAGATGCGTACCATTGAAAATTCAAGCCACCAACTTGTGTGCCTTGGAAGGGGCATTTGAAGTTGACATCATAACAACTGAATTTGTACAGATTTAATGCATACATTAGATTCTCTTTAATTTACTTAAACAAACAGCTAAGCTTTTCCTTTTCACCAGAACAGGTTTCCTGCCAGCTTACTATAATTGCATGGCATTTGGTTCATCACTAAAACTGTGTCATGTTGACAAAGCTATCATCTGAAAGACACTTCGAAGAACTAAATTTGGCTTGATCGCACCCAATAAGACAATACTAGCATCACACAAGTCGTAACACTCGACATTAAAAATTGGATCTTTCCATACCTAAGGAAGGGATGGCAGTAAAAAAACAATTGTGCCCTCTTGTAACATAAGTTATCATCTAGCTATTTTCATTGCCATTTTATTTCCTTCAGTTTTTCTTTATGTAGACATGTAGATGTAGCTACATTTTAATTATTCCATTTTGTTGAGAAAAATATCATCCATCTGCTTTTGGTTTTTCAATCCTTACTTTATTTCCCTTGTTTCTTTAGCATGCACCACACACACTTGCAATCAACCATCACTTGGACGTCACAATGGACGTCATCATAAACTCCCAAGTCTAACTTCTCAGCAGTTGCACGGTCCCAACTCCTATACTCATGCTGAAACTCTATTCCACAAACCATAACAATCCAGTATCTCCTTTAATCTTACAACTTATTGAATGACTCCACAGTTTTTCTAAATCCAAACATGTGTCTGTTAGAAAACATGTAATCAGATATTAATACACGAATTTGAACAAGAATTCATAAATAGACCATTGTGATGTCCATACAGCTGCGGCAACTGATTCAACCTGTCCATGCTAAAAGGCAAGCATATTCCAATCCACTGATTATGGATATCAAGTTTTCCAGCAACCCAAACCTGACACAACCAGAAGAAAAATAGGATGCGTCTACCAATAAAAATTGGTTTAGGCAGATAACAAACCCTCGAATTAGGAATAGTTAGGATAGAACATTCTGATGTGTCGAACTCGGCTTACTGCTATAATGTGGCCCAACAATGTTTTGTGTTGAAAGGTTCATATAAAGGTCTGTGCTATAGCTTGGCTCACATCAGTTAAATAACCAACCTTGTCAGCCCCTACAGTCATTATTATTATTTTTTCGATAGGAAATGAGAAAATATTATTAACACAAAAATAAAACGTACATGAGAGGACAAGGAGTCCTCAAGAAATACAAAAAACAAAGAAGGGAACATGAAAAGGCCTGAGTCAGCTAAAAACAAATACAAACCAAAAATGGAGAGAAAAGGAAGTTGTGTAGTAGCAATATTCATACACTTGAATCCAATGATCTTTAATTAAAAACAATGGAATCCCTCAAATTCCTTGGACATAGAAACCCAAAGAGATGCCATGAAAGAGCTCTTGTACCGCAAGTCTTCCCAAGGAACTTCCTTTGTCCTCAAAAATCCGTCCATTTCTTTCCAACCACAGCACCCAAAACAAAGCCAACACCGCACATCTCCATAACACCTTAGTTTTTGGACACAAACCAAAGCCATCACAATTCATACTAAACAATGAGGGACAACTTCTTGGAATCACTCAAGGGATCCCAACATACCCAAAAGCTTATTCCACAAGTTTGAGACAAAAGAACAATGAAGACACAAATGATCTATACACACTGCTTCTCTCTTGCAAAGAATCCACCATTGTGGTTGAAGAGAATTTGATGGCCTTCTTTTTTGGAGCACCTCATTAGTATTTAGTTTCTTGTGTACAATCCACCATGTAAAAACTTGTATCTTCAAAGGTGTCTTACTTTGCCAAACCAAAGATGTGGATTCAAGAAAGAAATAGATAGTATATCCATCAAAGAATGATTTGCAAGAATATTCACCCGAAGAAGAAAGGATCCATCTTCTTTTATTCATAGAAGAATTGCTCAAAACAATATTGTCGAGAATGCCAACAAAGAGATAACAATTCAATTACTTCTCCATCATTCAAATTTCTAAAGAAATTAAAATTCCAATTAGTTGGGGAGAGAAAAAGATGAGACCGTCATAACATACTAGCAATAGATGAATCATGTGATCTAGATAACCGATATAAAGGAGGAAACATAGATACAAAAGAAGACTCTCCCGACCCCCAAAAAAATATCTTCCCAAAACCAAACTTTTCCTCATTACCAATAATGAACTTCACACTTTTGTGAGAAAAGAAGTATCTCATATTTGTTCTCACCTCGCAATCATTGAATGCCATAAATTATTAATCTAGATGAGGATCTAAAAAGCCATTTACCAAGCAAAGAAACATTCTTGGCTTTAAGATTACCCAATACAAGATCTACCTTAATTTTATATCGTGACACCAAGTCCCAACTAACTAAATGATCTTTTTTGCCTTCTCATCAAAAAACCTCTCACCATCTTTTCAATTGTTTTTCAAATCTTTAAGGGCATTATAAACAAAGGCATGTAAGAAATAGGTATACGTTCAAGCACAGACTAAATCAAAGAAAGTCTCCCCTTCTGACAAAAAATTTTTTTTTTCCATTCATCAAGTCTCTTGCCAATCTTATGAATCACATGCTCCCAAAAACTAAGAGCTCTTGGATTTTCCCCTAAAGGTAAACTTAAAATACTTTAAAGACCACTCTAAAATAGAGCAACCTAAAGCTTGAGTTACTCTAACCAACTTGTCTTGTTTGCATATTGATTTTGCCAATCGCACTTTTGGAAAAGTTCACCTTTAGGCCCAACACCAGTTCAAAACAAAGTTGTTAGTATCGTACGATACACGATACGTATCGTACGATACGTTACGATACAGCCCTAAAACGATACGGATCGTAGTTATGTATCGTTTTTGCGTTGTATCGTCCGATACACGATACGTTTTTACGATACGATACGTATCGGTACGAAACGCACGATACGTGCAATTTTTTTTTTTTTTTTTTTTTTTTTTTTTTTAAACGACGTCGTTTGAAGTGTGTTGAATTTTTTTTTTTCAATTCCCTATAACCACTGAAACGACGTCGTTTCAGTGGTTAGGGTTACAAAAAAAAAATTCAGACATTTCTCACATATATCAGACATTTCAGCCATCGACCGACGTCTGGTTTCTCTCAGCCATCGACCGATGTCTGTCGTTTCTCTTCAGCCATCGACCGACGTCTGTGGGTGGGTGATGATCGACTGTGGGAAGTCTTCGACTTGTAGGTGGTGATCGCTGTGGGTGGTCTTCGACTGTGTGGGTGGTCTTCGACTGTGTTCGACTGGTCTCCGACTGGGTGGGTGGTCTTCGACTGTGGGTGGTCTTCGACTGTGTTCGACTGGTCTCCGACTGGGTGGGTGGTCTTCGACTGTGGGTGATCTTCGACTGTGTTCGACTGGTCTCCGACTGGGTGGGTGGTCTTCGACTGTGGGTGGTCTTCGAGTCTGGGTGGTGATCGATTGTGGGTGGTCTCCAACTGTGGGTGATTGCCGGTCTTCGTCTGTGGGTGATTGCTTGTCTCCGACTGTGGGTGTTGATCGCTGCCTTCTTCCTTCTCCAGGTACTCCTTTTTCTTCTTCTTCCCAGTCTCCATTGATCGTTGGTCCTGTGCAGTATGTAATGATATTAATTTATTTACCAAGCCAAATGTATATAAATTTTTTTGTATAAAATTTCTGAA